TAGAAGGTTTCTCCTCTTTCAGTTCTGATGTCAACCCAAAATTGGGGTTTTTTTTTGCTTTCAGAGATGGTAAATGGGACAAATAGGGTTAATCTCCCTATCTGGGGCACAGACAGTGGTAAACTCACAGATAATCCCTCTCCGCTCTACCCAAAACTTAGAAAGAAGAAAAAAAGTTTTGCCTTTAGTGACACTTTCAAGTAAAAAAATTTTGCTTTGTGTGCCTTGATCTGATTTTTTAAATTGGTATATTAAGAGACACATAATGATGTACTCAGGTACACAGGAGACAGGATGCTGGCAAAGAAAAGCTGTAAGGACAGCCTGGTATAAGCCTTCCCAGCCCTACCATGCCTGAGTTCTATGAGAATATACATATTTTTTTTTTCTCCTGATAGTAGGAAAACCTCTATTTATTTTTTTTTAAAAAAAGCTTTCTTCTAGCTAGTGTCTTCTGTTGCTGCAGTGCCAGAGTGCCTCCTTTTGCAGTTTTCCAGATCTTTTCACTCCATTGCCACAGAAGCCATACCTAGAATCCTGTCCAGAGAAAATAGCGAGGCAAGCCTGTATCCTTGGGCTGTGCTGTAGGTGCTTGCATAGGCACCTGTGTGCAATTTGTGAGTTTGAAGCAAAGTGTTTTACAGGTCCAGGGGCACAGTGCATTTGTCTTGTGGAACTTTGTCCTTGACAACTCTTTGGGGAGTGTGTTCATCAGTGGGATGAAAACTAAGGGAAGTGGCATGTTCCCTGAGCTTTTCCTCTCCATATTAAAACTGGTGCTCTCACTATCTTCTAATTTGGCCGCTTTGAGTCTTTGGCCCTCCTCCTGTGCATATCCTTTCCCATTGGCTCACTGCACATGCATGTGCCATTTCCTGGTGTGCATGATCCTCCACAATCCTCCAGAATATACTCGTGGGCCTCCTGCTGCTTTACAGTGGCCTTGCCACAAACCGCTTTAACCCTTCCCGCTCCAGTAGCGGTTTGTGAATACACCTTGAGGGCAATACTTTACTTGCCTTATATTGCAGATACTAAGCACAAAATCAGTGTTCCCAGGGGCCTTGCAGCTTGCCATACTTTGTCAGAGCAGGGAGGGGTCATGAAGTGTTCTGCCTCAAGGACCAGACACAAATGGTCCATACCTTGTTTTACCTACCTGATTGGATAGAGTAAATAGGGATTAGAACAACTCAGGTATTTGTTGCTGTCTGTGCACCCTTAAAGGAGATTTATTCTCTCTATTTGTCCATCATTGGAGGAGAAGGAAAAGAAGGTCTCTGTTAAGCAATTACACATCAACACAAGGGACACATCTCACTGAATGTAATATCCTTTTGTACTTTATTTTTTTTTTTTATTACTTTTTAAGTAAACTCAGGCTGTAATTAAAGTCCTTACTGTGGACCTTGCCATTTCCCGTGTTAAGACTAACTATCCCTATAAAAGACATTCTGGTGTTTTAACGACCCCATGAATTGAAGGCTGGAAGCCCTTTTAAAAGTCTTATTCTCCCCTGCAGCCCTAACCTACAGTTACTGCCTTTTTGTGGTCATCTGGTCCCAGAACATTCCAGATGTCTTGGTCCAAAGTATTGTATGCAGAAGCAGCTACAAGATGATTTTTTTTTTTTTTTTTTTCTTCTGCCTCTACCCAACTTTCTAGCATCCCTACAAAGATTGGTGTACCTTCACGCTGCTCTTGGTGAAGCTCCTCTCTCAAGGTATCATAGCCATTGTCCCAGAAAAGCAAAGGTTACAGGGGTTTTAGTCAAACCTGTTCACTGTTCCTGAAGCCAGGGGGGACAGCCGCCCTTTTGTGGCTCTCAGGGAAAGCTCTCAACTTTCTTTAGGTATGAAAATTTAGCCTGGATTGTTTCCCTCCATCCCAGATAACTTCTAGCCTCTGTGAACATCAAGGATGCCTACTTGCAAGTCCCCATCTTCCTGTGTGCATCAATGCTACATGCATTTTGCAGGGGGCACCAGCATTTTCATTTTGTTTCCCTTTTCTTTAGTCTGCACCTCTGGTTTTCAAAGGCGCTAGCCCCTGTTCCTGATCTGCTTCACACTCAGGGCATTTCCACAGTGGGATATCTGCACAAACATCTTCAGAGACTGGCATATTCTGTCAGCTAACATATTTTTTGCACTGTGCAGACCCTACAGAAGTTTAAGTGATTTTCTAAATCTCTAGAGGTTCATTCTAGAACAGTCTCATAGTTTTGAAGTATCTAAGCCTGGTCTTGGATATGGCCCTGTCCAGGGTTTTCATTCCATGGGGCATACTCCAGACTGTCCACTCCATGTTCAAGCTCTGTTGTCCGGGAGCCAACCAACCTTCTGTTTTTGCATGAGGGTCCTTTTTAGCCTTCACATTGTACTCCTTGGTGGCTCTGTGGGATCGGTTCAACTTGATCTATGCTTTTCCTCCTCTAAAACCCCTTTGGTGCAATGAGAATCGCTGGACTGCCCTTCATCTCGATTCTGCAGACTCTCCATGAGCCCACCAAGACCGTCCAGATGTTCAATCCCAGGGACCAGTTTACCACTTTTTAGTTTTTGATTACTGGCTTTCACAGCTTGTCTGTTGAAGCCCAGGTCATCAGGATAGGGGCTTTTCTGTCGGCTATCCATGTTTTAAAGAAGCCTACTGCTACACCTGGTAGCATCATTGTGCAGGGCATACTCTGGGGCTTTTCCTAGTATGAGCGTACTTTGCTCGTCCCCCAACTGCCCCCCCCCCCCCCCCCCCACACACACACACACACACACACCTACCTCTCAGCCTGGTTCTGTTGGTCCTCTTTGAACCTCCTCTGTCTTACTTACAATGTTGCCTTCCTCATTAACATAACCTCTGCACGGCGAGTTTGAGTAAGAGCCCTTTCTTGTCCTCCACAGATGCAAGGTTTTCTTGAGGCCCAAGGCCTCCCTTCTTGCCAAGCTGGTTTCTTTCTTTTCACCTTAACCAGTAACTTTGTTTTCCCTGCTTTTTCGTCATGCTTGTTGACATTCCAAGGAGGTTTCCCTCAATTATCTGGATGTGGCATGGACTTTTCATCTATCTCTCTCCGCTACAGCTCCTCTTAGGCAGTCTGAATGTGTGTAATTTTTGAGGGTTCTCATAGGGTCACTTCAGTTCTCATTCCACTGTCATCAGGTGGATTTGACAACTGTAACTTATAGATTTAAGGATAAGTTTCTACCTTTTTCTGTTAAAGCACACTCTACCAGATCTATAGGTGCTTCTTGGGTTTTTCAGCATCAGGATTTTTAAGGCTGCCACCTGGTCTTCTGTTCACACGTTTAAGATTTATCAAGTAGTGTGCATTCGTGTGTTAGATGATGCCAATTTTGATTGTTTATTTTATAGATGAATTTCAGGTATGGATTTACCATGCAGCACCATGTGATCTGGTGCCCACAGACAGTGCTTGCAATCTGTGTTTAGGGTGTGTTTTAAATGTACTGGAATCCGCAGTGTGTTTTGAACTCTGCAGGAAATGCGCTCTGAACCCTGCTTTCTTGCTCCTTGTTCTGGTGTTTAGCTCTTAGATCTATATTTAACATCTTCAACTTGGAAGCGGAAGGTTGCTTTAAAAGCTTCATCAAAGCTGTTCAAGCTTGCTCAAAAATTTACATTTGATTTGCAGAAACTTGTTGCACACATTTCTCTACTATAAACTCTAACAAAAAGGCACACTGCAATACCAATATTTGCAAACATGCTTGATTTTGCACGTATGTACAAAGGCCTGTTTCACACATGCTTCAGCAGTGTGAACAGCAAGCTTTTATTAAACATTTGCAGAGCTTTTCACAAGCTATGTTAGGGCTGTGATTGTACCATTCAGCTCCCGTTTGTAAATGTGTAAATGTCAGTTCCTGTTGAAAATGTTAAACACAGATCCTAATGGGAGTTCTGATCGCCACTTTAAACAACCTGCTAGCAGGCTTCAAACACTTCTTGAAACTTGTTGAAAACCTACTGAAGTCTGCTTGTTAAAGTGACAATCAGCACTTCCAATAGGATCTGTGTATAACATTCTCAACAGGAACTGAAGGACACTTTAACCACTTTACTACTGTGCTATAGCTGAATAATGGCTAGATTGCGATTAGTCCAGTTCTGGAGGGGCCTCATATGACGTCCTCCCAGAACGCTCCCCCAGCAGTGTGCACTCAGCACTGTCTGTGATCGCTGTGTCCAATCACAGCTGACCACTGTGTAAATACACTTGCCGTTTATTGGCAGTACTTCCTCATGCTATTACAGCTTGAGGAAAGTACTGCCGGTAATCAATAACTGTTGAAGCAGGCATCTGCACTGATAATTTGTGCCCTGATTATCAATGCAGCCCCAAAAGTGCCCATCAGTGCTGCCAATATGTGCCCTTCAGTGCTACTTATTGGTGCCCTTCATTACCACCCATCAATGCCTCATAGCAGTGCCTCCTCATCAATGCCCACCAGTGCCGTCTCATCAGTGCAGCCTCATCAATGATCGTGAAGGAGAAAAATTGCCTGTTTGTAAAATTTTATAATAGGGCCCCCCCCCCAAAAAAGTTCACGCTCTTAATTTATTTATAGTGCAAAAAATAAAATGCCCAGTAGTGATTAATTACCACCAAAAGAAAGCTCTGTTTGTGTGGAAAAAAAAAAAGGGTAAAATTTCACATGGGTACAGTGTTGCATGACTGTGCAATTGTCATTCAAAGTGCAAAAGCGCTGAAAGCTGAAAATTGGCCTGGGCGGGAAGGGGGAAAAAGTGCCCAGTGGACAAGTGGTTAAAGACTTGGCGAAAGCAGCTTAAAGCTTGTCGAAAGCTTTGCAAACGCTTGCTGAATGCTTCGTAAAAGCTTGTTGTTCACACAGAAGCCCATGGGAAAAATGTCTAAAACCACTAATGTCTTAATTGTGTTATTCTCTTATATAACACTTACTCTTTGGTGAAATAACAATATATATAATTATGATTTTATTTTTTTTTATTTTTAGGTAGTGGATTCACGAAGCATACCTGTTTTAGCCAAGTGGCAATGTTCATATAGCATTAAAATTGTTCTCCAAGAACTTAGACGCATGATGATGTCCAAAGAAAATATGAAGCTTCCGCAGCCTCCGGAAGGACAAACTTACAACAATTAATTGATCTGGGAATGTTTCAGTACTTCTTCCTAGCCCCCCTCCACGAATTTTAGAAAGGCCTGCAATGTCTAATATTGCATGCCTCTGCCTCTCCAGCTCTGAGAGGGGAACCCCTTTCAGCCCCGACAAACCTAAACTGGGCACAATTTGCACATGAATTCTCATTGTTGGCTTGGACTCCCAGTTTTGACTCCCATTGGTCATGGACATATTATGCAACAGATATGTTGCAGTCCAACCTCCATACACCTGCACAGGAACACATAGGAGTATAGAGGTTGTAATGAAGTGATTTTGCTTCTTTTCTTGTTGTAATTTTGCTTGATTGTTGGGATTCACACCTTCTGGGCATTTTATTTTCTTAAAAAGTAGCAGTTCATGTTTTCAAATTTATTCTTTTTTTTTGTTTTTTGTTTTTACGTGTGTTACATTGTCATAAATAAATCTAGGCCTATAGCAATTGACTCCTAAATGATATTTGAATGTACTTTAGGAAAAAAAATGGCTTCCAGTACTTAAAGCCCCGGTGTTTCAGAAAGTATCATTCAGAGAGATGTTTTCCAAGTTACAGAGCTGGGTGAACAACTGAGTACAGAGTGTAATCCTATGCTGTAAGCTGTAGCATCCAATCGTACATCAACTTGGAAAGTCAGGATAACAAAACTTTTTTAATCAAGTTTGGGGTAACTGCTTTCCTCCCTTTCCTTCTCTATCCCATATATAGCTTACACTTGTGACCTCTTATCAGCTGGTGACCTTCACTAGCCATGGCCTATGTTGCCTCCAGTGGTTTTGCTGATCTACTCATTGTGATGTTGTACTGCTCCTGTTTGGCCTTTCGGCATAGGACCTAATAAAGAAGTCTTCAGAGTGATGGCCTCTCAATTAGGGTCCATGTTTTCCTTTAAAGCTGATCATACACGGGCATGTCTGCGTTCCCATATTTTTCTTTCTTGGCAATGGTTGTCCGATACAGTATTAGTTTTGGCAAACCATGGTGATAGTGAAATCTGACTGGTACAGTTGCTTTGACACCTGGAAATATAATGTACAAATATTCTAAGGGATACTGGTTGTATGTGAACCTTTATGAACGTGTTGATGTGTTCCTCATATCGCATCATCCAGCTTAGCCAAATTCTTCCCATGAATAAGGGTGTTCCCTAAATAGAGCTATTGGCATAATGTGTCCAAAAATTACCTGTCTTGGCCAAAGATTGGTCATGTATGCACAATTAGTGCAACTAAACTATTGACGTTTGATTTTGTTGCTGTGGGATAATGCACATCTTTGCTCTTTGCACCATGTTAAAACCAGACACACCAGTGTGCATCTTGGACAACTGAGTTCTCCCTCATAAAGTAATGTGACTTTTGTATGTAAACTATAAAACCACTTTACTACATTTTACACCCTGGCCTGCATGTCCTTTTTAGGCAAACACATGAATGATAAATTGGTACCATTTACTTTAAGTAAATATTCATAGAAATTCACAAAAATGTTTATTACAATTTTTTCCAGTTTCCACTTTTTTGTGTATGTGGCCCAGCCTAGCATTCTGGTTCACTGGTTTTGATATTTTCACTGCACAGGCTATAATTTAAACTTGCTGTCAAAAACTATTAATATGTAATAACCCAGAATGACTGTTCGGTGTAATGCATTTAATGTTTGCAAGTACTGGTAGGTATTTAATGGTGGTAAGTATAGCCAACTTTTAAACTATAATTTGCAAGAACCTTCAGTGCCTGAACATGCATTCCTGAATTGTCCAAGTATGCATGCTTTGTGCACATATACTCCTAGTACCAACAAAACCTTGGTAGGGAGCAAGTTACTGGCCGGAAAATGTCAGACCGCTCAGTTCTTTCGCTGAGTCCAGTTGATTACTGAGTGTTCACATGGATTGTAAAGTGCAACTGATTTATCATTTATTCCAGATACAGCCCAAATCAGATGGATCATGTGATTGTTTGCCTGTTGGCAAATTAGCTCACACACTGGCATGGTAATGGCTGATTGATTGTTAAGCAGTTCAAAGTTATAACCAGAATTATTACTTAGATCTACAAAACGCCTTTTCAGCCATTTCACCTAAAGTCACAATTTTATAGAGAAACAAAAACCTCAGCAGTTATCAAAGGGAACTACTTTTGGTATCCCTCTTTCTAAGGAATTTGCAGTAACCTCATTTGCCTCAAAATGTGCCAAGGTTTAATAATTAACAGCATGAGGTTAAGCTCTGTTTGCCTGAAGGCAATGGGGTTGATTTACTAAAACTGGAGATTGGTTTCTGTGCAGCTGCACCAGGTATGTACAATCAGCTTCCAGTTATTTTTATCAAAGCTTAATTGAACAAGCTGAATTTGGAAGCTGATTGGCTACCATGCACAGCTGCACCAGATTTAGCACTCTCGAGTTTCAGTAAATCTACCCCAATGTGTCTTAAAGGTTTGAAATCCAAATGACGTATATTCACCCTGCTTGGACAAGGAAATCACATCGCTGACGTAGATGATGCTTTGAATACAGAGGTGTTTTATTTGTTTAAGTGTCATAGAACAGGTTAGAAGACCTAGTTGTGTCCAGGTTTGGTCTTGCTCACAGTATTTCTGACAAAGGGAAGGGGGGTGGTTCTGTAAAGCAGCTCCTGTCTTAGTACCGGTCACAGCAGTAGAGAGAGCTGGATTGTGGGTTGGATCAGTATTTCACCGAATGCAGCCTGTCAGTTTCCTAGGAGCCACAAGCATTGTTTTGGAAAGTGGTACTTTGTGTCTCGCTGCAATAATGTTCAGGTCCCTAGTGAATTGAAGGTAAAATTACATACAAAATGACATTTGACAGGTTTACTTCCATGTAACTTACAGAATAATTTGTTTACATTTGTTCCAATCAACTGCATTCAAGTTATAGTACTGCAGACATATATGAATAGGATATAGATAATGTGAATCTGAGGTCACAGAGGGGTGGTTCAGTTAAGCAGCTCTTGTTTGTTAGTTTGTACCTGTCACAACAGTAGAGTTTTGTGGGTTAGACCTGTGTTCCGGAGAATGCAGCCTGTCAGTTTCCTGGGAACCTGTAGTGTTGTTTTGACATAAAGCAGTTGGGTTGATTTACTAAAACTGGAGCACTCAGAATCCGGTGCAGTTGTGCTTGTAGCCAATAAGCTTCTAACTTCAGCTTTTTTGATTTAAGCTTTGACAAAAAAATTGGAAGCTGATTGGTTTCTATGCAGAGCTACACCAGATTTTGTGTACTCATTGTTTGTAAATCAACCCCTTTGTGTCTAACTGCAATAATGTTCAGGTCCTCATTAAAAAGGAGTTTAAAATATATTAAATGGCTTGTGACAGGATTACTTCCATGTAACAAACAGAAAAATTTGTTTACAGCCTTTGTTCCAATTAACTGCATTCAAATTATAGTACCGCAGACGTATATGAAGAGGATATAGATAATGTGAATCTGAGGTCGCAGCTAGTCTAACCGTGTAATAAAATGTTAAAAGCATGTGGTTTGTTTGTTTTGTTGTTCAGTTGAAAGAAAATGAAATCTCTTAAAAGAAAACTTGTAATCAAAGATTTCTAGGTTGTCTCATTGCACTCTCCTTTTGAAAATGCTAGTTGCATGGGTTTTTAATCCAAAAACTACATGACATTCACTGATGCAGGACACACAATCAGATCAGGATCCCTGACTTTACTAGTTGCATGCTTGATCCGGGTCAGTGACTCATGGGGGTTTATTTACTAAAGCTGGAGAGTCCAAAATCAGACTCCCTTCTGCATAGAAACCAATCAGCTTCTAACCTCAGCTTGTTCAATGAAGCTTTGGCAATGAAACCTGGAAGCTGGTTGGTTTCTATGCAGAAGGGAGTCTGATTTTGGACTCTCCAGCTTTAGTAAATAAACCCCATGGTGTCGAGGCTACAGAAAACAAATGAACTTGGGTTTTCAGTAGGAGATCAGCAATGACTGTTTGATGGAAAAAAAAAAAAAAAAAAAAAAAATATATATATATATATATATATATATATATATATATATTATTTTTTTTTTTTTCCATTAGCATCTGCTATTCGTAGATCTATGCCCCAATATGTTGGTTCTTAATACTTCATTTCTACTTTGAGCAGGCTATTTCTAATCGCTGTGGTTACAGTGAAAGGTTTTATAGAAATGAGAGAGGCCTTGCATCTGGTCCTTTCTCATTTTTCATTCTGGCTCTGTTTGCATCCATCCTGATCCTATGCAGGTACTGTGGTGTGGAGCAATTGAAACACCCAGCTGTGTCTGCAGTGTTATGGCAGTAGTGACATCCTCTAAGAGAGCAGCATGGGGTATGGAAATGAACACAAAAGTAAATTACTGCTGAGCACCACCAACACCAAAGATGAGACATTTCTCTTTTCACTGCCATTGGCGGGTTTTTTTTTTTTCTCCCACCGCACACTTTTTTTTACTTCCCCTGACCACCAGTTCTTGGGCATTCTGTTGCTTTCTATAAGGCTAGGGCTTTCATTCTCCCACTGAGCACCAATTCTGGGAAATTAATGACTTCGGTAACCATCAAAACAGGAGTATTTTTTTTTTTCTTCTAATGACCACTAATGGTGGGGCATGTTTACTTTAACTGCCAAAGTTGGCATTTTTTTTCTCTTTTTGATACATGGCATTTTTCTGACTGTTTTCACTAAGATAATTTTTTGCTTGCAAATCTCTGATCTCCAAGCATGGCTAAACAGAAAAACACTTAAATGACATACTTGTATTTTAGCTTAGTGATGTGAACTTGCATTCTGCATATAGAAATGAGCTGCTAATGGAAAATCCACCATGCTGGTAATCTAATGAAGCAGGATCTATATCCGCTCTATTGATGAGCCTGGAGAATATTTGTTCCACCTGACCTATTGGTGGCCTAGTTAAAAGAAAAGAAGGATCCCCATTGCTTAGCTGATGGCATACAATAGGCATTCTGCTTTTACTGTTAC